CAGTGTTCCATAAACTATATTATTCCCTCTGTTTCACATTTATGAAAAGTAGAGAATGGTGTAAACAAGGTTTTCTGTTACTTACTATTCTCTGTAGTCTGAGGAAGACCGGAAGAATGTTCTCAGGCTGCAGGATTTGGTGGACAAGCTGCAAATGAAGGTGAAGTCCTACAAGAGACAGGCTGAGGAGGCTGTAAGTATCAATTTGCCCAAACCAGACTTCCTTCTTGTCAAATTCTGTGTCGATATTTTCTTCTGTTCATCTTTTTGAAACCTTGACGGCTTTCATGCAACATGATGTCATTTTGATACAACATGGAATATGAGAGTAAGACTTTCTGGGTTTGGGAGGAACTATCCTTCTCCAACTCTGTTTTGCTCTAAGCCTCATTTCCCACTCTATTTCTTCCTTCACACCCTACTCTGGGCGTCAGAAGCAGCTGCCAGTCTGCCTATTGAGGACTCTGACATGAACTCTGCCTAGACCATGCTGTGTGTAATTTGGCCATGGCCTTTTTGACATTGCAATATTCTTTTCTCTTCCGACATACTTAACACCCTGAACAGCTTCTTGTCTTGGTTGTGAACCTGCTCTGCTAGTCCAGCTGTGGCATTTGAATTTTTCTTTGCCCAATTTTCAGATATTAAATGTCCACATGCTGTCTGTTGTTTTCACAACTCTCTCTCCCCACGCAGGAGGAGCTCTCCAATGTCAACCTCTCCAAGTTCCGCAAGATCCAGCACGAGCTGGAGGAAGCCGAGGAACGGGCTGACATTGCAGAGTCACAGGTCAACAAGCTCCGAGCCAAGAGTCGGGAGTTTCATGGGAAGAAGGCAGAAGAGGAATGAGGTTCCCAAAGCTAAAAAGTGACTTGAGGCATGCATAAAATGTAAACCTCTGTGTTGCTTTCTTCTGTAATTATCATTTATGTGTAGTTAATAAATACAGTAGAGACCTTTGCATATGAACAGTGCATGTTTTATTTATTCTAGCATTCATTACATTTAAAAGTACGTCAAAGAGCATTACATTTTTACATTTGCATTTTAAAAGTGCATGAAAAATAGTAAGAATTATATAGATTTATTATTTCTTTTGCAATGAGAAGTATGCATTTCTTTGATGGACGAAGACTACATTCTTTCCAATTATTTTGATCAATACTTTCGGAAAAAAAATAAAATAAAAGGAAAAATATTCCTGAAGCATTTAACATATACACACACACATATATACTACAAATATGTACATATATATATATTTATTTTATTAATTGAAAAACTTATTTGTTAGGCTTAATGGTATGGGAAACTCAAATTTCACTCCAAGCATTGACAAGCAGTCCAACTCATGTGGTCAGATAATGGCATGAAGAGATATCCTCACTCACTTTCTCTGAAGTTATTTTGTTTCATGTATAGCACAAATCATACACATTCACATATGGGATAAGTAATGAGAATCCACAGTTAAATGACTATGGAAGAAAGAATAGGTAAGGCTGCCGATTCTGTTTATAATTTGAGTCAAGCCCTCCCTTGCCTTTCTAGGCTCACCCCTTCCACTCTGTCCACAGCCTGACTCTTCTGCCTGTTTATTGACATTTTCAACATACTGGGCCTGTTCATTTTCCTAAAAAGCAGCCTACAATATAATATTTGCATTAAGATGAACTAGACATTCAACAATTACATATTGATTGAAAATGTAACATAAAGTAAAGTACAGCCCTGGTTAGGCAAGGTGCCTAACTACTGATCACTCTTTGGAATACATTCAGTGTGTCTAAGCGCCTAGTAAATTAGAAGTGAAGCTGAATAGGGACTCCTGTTACTGATAAATTTGTTTTTGCCAAGACACAGTGTGAGACTGACTTGGTTGGTATTTTTGGCATATGGTCAAGCTTTAGCAGCTACCTCAAACTTGCTGTTTATTTAAAGCATGTGCTAAACATCTTTGACCATCCCACCAGAATTGTCAATCCGTAGCTGACCTTCATGTGTCCCTTTTGGATATCTTTTCTAATCCTTCAAGTGCTGTAAAACCACTGCTTTAAAATGCTAAGGGTTCCTAATAAAACATGTAAATAATATTTGAGCAGCAGAAGACAGTTGAAGTTAGGAAGGGACACTATCCACCCATTTGAGAAACCACAGTTCAGGATCCACCATAGCTGAGCATCTCTGAGGCTTTTGGTGCTCCCTCGAACCCTTTGGGTAATTTGTACGAGCAGCACCATCTTCCCTTGGTGGTGATAACTCTAAACACAACCCCACTTCATGGCCCATCGCAGGATGTGTCACTGTACTACCACGTGCCCTGCTATTCCAAGGGCTCATCAGAGACCTCCAGGAACACATCACAGTTTTTTGGTATCAATCACATTTCAGAAAGAGGGCAGGGTGAACAAGGGAACTGAACTAAGCTGAGCAGGAAAAGCCTCTTTTCTGCTGTTATAGTACATTTCTTCTCCCCCGCCATCCAAGGGTTTCGTGCTGAGCCAGAAACCCTGTGGGGACAGATCTTGGCTGGAGTTGGGGCACCGCAACACTCCTGCTTACCACACAGGCCATAATCCAGGGAAAAATGCACCTGGAGCCAGCTTCAGGAGCTGCAGTAACCAAAGGGACTCTCCGCCGACAAGGCAGAAGAGGCAGAACTTTGTTCTGTTAATGCACTTACCCGTTTGGTTGTGCATCATGAGACAGATCATTTTTATTTCCCCATGTAGCTGCTCACCTACATCCAGCTCCTCCACCGCAAAAGCAGGGGATGGGAGGGGAGCAGAGGCGGCCGGGAAGGAGCGGAGGGAGCCGAGAGGGAGCGGAGGGGGCCGGGAGGGGAGCAGAGGACGCCGGGAGCAGTCGGGCACCGCAGAAGGGACGGGAGGCTCCCTCAGTGCCCGCGCCAACCCTCCCATGCAGCGATGGGCACCCCTGGCCGGCGCCCCAGGACAGGGGCCCTGGCGGGGACAGTGCAGGAAGGAACGCGAGTGAATGCCAGCCGTGAGCTGGTTTTAAAAGCTCCTTCGATGGGCCGTCCCTCTCTCTGGGAATTTCAAAGTTCCCTTTCTCTTTTCCCTATTTTTCAGCTTCGGTCACCCCGTGCTTTGCCCCGACGCCTTCCTGAGCTCTGGCCGGGTCTCCTCACCCGCGGCACAGCTATTGCAGGCCGGGGCGGGCTGAGGGCCCGGGGCCCCGCCGCTGCCAGGGCTGTCCCTGTGCCAGGGCTGTCCCTGTGGCAAGGCTGTCCCT